TGGCATAATAATCATACCCAAAACATATTCATAAATACCACCGAATGCCCAAAATAATTGAATAGCAATAACTAGCATTCCACGTGATGCTGATGGTAAATATTCTAACATTAAATTATTACTAAAAATTGTCAAAGAGAGAAACATGACTTACAAAGAATTTATATATATATATATTCAAATAAATAATTAAACTTAATTTTATTATATGAATTACGTTTAAAAAGAAGTTCAATGATGTGTGTTCGTGAAAAATTTGTAGCGTGAAATTATTTAATTTTCATATGTGAAAGGTTCATATCAGATACGAGAGACAGTCATAGTCGAAAAATCATAATATTTTTTTCATTTCTACAACACTAGGATAGCTACTAATAGCAAAAAGAGATGACAACTAATAGTTCGATTTACTCATTTTTCAATCGTACAGATTTGCCTTTCCTTTTTTCCTATCGTCACAGATTTATTCTTTCAAAATTCAAATGTTTAGTAGGAGTCATAAGCGTATGGTATATGTAGCTTGTATTTAGAAAAAAGCGAAATGTCTTATATTTTACTTTATTCGTATTAGGAAGAGATCCAGCTTAATGACTTTCTCACCTGTTCACTATTATTGATCAATAAAAAGTATAGTATTTCGAAAGTGATTGATATAATCAAATAATTCTATTTTCTATCCTTTTACTCACCCTTGATTAAGACCTCCCATACCAATTCCGACAAAGAAACTGGTTAACAGTACATAGTTATAACTTGGTGCCAATGCTGTAAGCAATCCAGATAAAGAAATTAGTATAGCACTTGTTATAATTACTCTACGTCGTCCATATTTATCAGCAATAAGACCAAGTATAAATCCTCCACACAACGTTCCACTAAAAACACACTAAAAATAAAAATTTATTAAATCGTCAATAGATTTTAAAAATTAAAAGTTTCTTTTACCGCAGTTAATGCAGCTATACGAATATCTGTTATATAGGGCCAATAACACTGTAACGCTGGCCCCAAAATTGTTAAAAGCAATATTTCTCCTGCATCCGCCATCGTACAAAAGCTAATAATTGAAAACAAACGCCATTGAAATTTTCCTAAGCCAATATAATTCACACATTCTTCAAGAGTGTACGTTGCACTCGAGTCCATTTTTCAAAGATCTATATTAATGAGAAACAAAAACATCAGTAAACAAAATTGAATACAATAAAAACTATCACATACATTCACAACAAAAGTATAAAAGAAAGCGAACGAAAATGTTTATATAAAGAAAAATATAATAATATTTTAACCAGCTGTCACCATAAACAAACAGATAAAATTGTCATGTAGTATACTAATTGATATTTTCTTGATAAAATATTAGCACTATTACCAAAATAAATCAATCTTCACAATCATAATGACTAATTTTCGAAAACGTGATAAGGAGAGAGGGTAAGCAACTTATTTTCGCAAGGTGCTTCACACGACATACATGTGATTGTACAGGAACGAAGTAAAAAAGATATTACTATATGATCGTATTGTCCTTGTTCAGCCAAGCGAAACCAACTAATACTCTTTCTTTTCGTAGCACGATGTCTTCATTATGAAATAAATATTTACATCAACAATGTAGTTTTCTGCTGTGATAGAGCTAGTTTATGAGGTAATTTCTACAAGAAGAAAAATTTGTTCCAGCACGATTCATCTGTCAATGTATTGAATATAATATATACAATGCGAGTACTTGACATTGATAGAATTTAAATAAATAATATTTCAAGTAGATATAGAGTTCATGCAAACATATAACTCTGAATTATATGAAGATTTTTATTACTAAAATATGTGGTCTTTAGAAAACTTCTCTTAATTAAAATTTATAAGTTAAAGATCATACGAGGGCAACAGCGCCATCTATACATATTATATCATATTTATTTTCTTATTGAATTAAAAACTATAATCTATTGAAAGAATAATTAACTTTGAATTTGTAAAAAAAAATTTTACAAAATAATTTTTAATTGGTAAGAAACAAGCAATAATTATCAAGTAAAAAGAAAAAACATTATACCTCACATACTCAACAAGTATTTTGCGGTTTCTTTTTTCTCTGAATATTTCCAGTCGATCGATTTTGATGCATTTTTTTAAACAATCCAATCACACCCTTATCTACCTTTAATTATGAAATTATCTTTTAAAATTAATCATTTTTTTTTCTTCCTTTAGATGATATGACAAACAATAATACAATTCGTGAACTTAAACTTCATAGTCCAGCTGGTGTTGAACCAGCTGTGTTTACTTGGCCAAATATTGAACGACAAGTAAATTATTACGAGATAATTTAATTTATTCTTATTGACTTATTTTTAGAAAACAAAACAAGATGCTATATTTATTGCGGGCGATGAAATTGTTCGAACAATTCGTTTAGTTTTCGAAGGTTTGTCTCAATTTTTTCTGTTTTAATTCAATGAAAATATTCTTTTTGTATAGATTATCCTGAATTATATCAACAAAATGTCAATCTTGATCAATGTGATATTCATTCATATAATAAAATGAAAGAATTATGTGATAAATTTAATAAAATTATTGATACACATGTTAAATTAAATCGTGGTACAGAAACTTTTTCTGCTCGACTTGAACAACGTGCTACAGCTAAATTATTTCGTCATATTCTTGCTCAAGTCTATAGCCGAGCTGTAACTAATCCTGATAAATTACGTGATTATGAACCATTTTCTCCATCAGTAAATATTTTGTTTATTCAATTAAGAAAAAAACAAAAAAAGTTTGTTTTTCTTTTTCTTTTTCTTTATCCAGGTCTATGGCGAGACATCACCTGATTTAATCGATTCAATACTTAAATTGATTAATTTAACTGAAGATCAAACATTTATTGATCTTGGTTCAGGTGTTGGAAATGTTGTTTTACATGTTGCTGCTTTATCTAATTGTAAACATGTCTATGGTATTGAACATGAAGAAACTCCAGCAACATATGCATGTGCTATGGGAGATGAATTTCGTTTTTGGATGCGTTGGTATGGGAAACATCATTCAGAATTTCAATTAGAACAAGGAGATTTTTTATCACATCCAAAAATGGATGAAAGAATCAAAGAAGCAGATGTCATTTTTGCTAATAATTATGTATTTGGTTCAACAGTTAATCATGAATTAAAAGTTAAATTTATGAATATGAAAGGTAAATATTGAATTGAACATATACTTTTATTTAACTTAATTATTTCTTAGATGGAGCAAAGATCATTTCATCAAGAGAATTTTGTTCCGAAAGCTTTCGACTTAATGATAGAACAAAAAATGATTTAGGTGCTGTTATGCATGTGACGTAAGTGAAATTAATATAATTTATTATAGAAGTTATGATAATATATATATTTATAGAAAACCTGAAGAATGTTTTGGTAAAGTCAGTTGGTCAGATAAATCTGTTCAATATTATCTTCACGTTATTGATCACAGTAAATTAGCACATTATTATGAAAAAGTACATCAACTTCATACAAAAGGATCAAAGACAAAGTAAATATCGAAAGAATGTTTCCTGTTTTCACATATTCAATGATATAATAACAAAATTAGAAGAAGATGGAAAATTTTGACTAGAATTTGATCGAGTATATACAAGGTCATCTAGTCGATAGTGACCGAATATCAATTTTTTCCGTCGAATACTAACGCATTTTATGAGCGATAGTTTCATCAATTCTTTGTTCATATTGACATAGCTTACAGAATATGATTCATCGCATAAATAACTCTGATAGCGTCATCTGTGCTGTGAAAAACACG